TTTATCAGTTTATCTAGACGTTCCGAATATACATTACGGGTGTAAATCAAGCCTCTCAAACATATATATTGTGGTCTACCTTTTACCATATGAGCATGTTCATTTTGTTAAAAATGGCCGTTTTCATTGAAAAGCCTCCTCTGTTACAAGTTCAAACTGCTATGAAACCATGAAAAATGCTTCAATACTAATGAAACTTATCAGGATGGACGCTTATTCTTGTGACAGCATGCTCAATTTTAAATTTCCTGTTACCATGGCAACTTGGGGACCTCTCAAAATTGCGAAAATCACTTTTTTGCATTGTTTCTTTCCATCGAAACTGATTTCAAAGTGCTGCAACTTCTCAACGAATTGAGATAAAGTAAAAGATTTTCTGCATTGGTTACATGTAACCTTCAGGCCGATCTGAGGCCATTTTTAGTCTGCCACATGTCCAACAACTTTCTTGGCGATGAGGGAGATTGCCGCCCATCTTCAAACACCCCCAAACAGAAGTGGGCATATTCTCCTCTGGCAATCGCCTGATGTTTCATTTTGATGGGGGCGACCCGAAAAAGTGATCACTTTATAAACAACATAATAGTGTTTGGGGCCTAAATATGGCATTTTTTCACTGTTTGAGGCCTATAAAGGGGGAGGGGGCAAAAAGCCGTCAAAACACACTTAAATGAGGGAAAAGGTTAAGTACTAAAATAATTATATATATGTAATTAAGCTAAAAAAGAATTAATTGAAAAAACAACACTTACTGAACTTGAATGTAAAACATGAAATACAAAACATGATATCATTTAACAGATCGTGTTATGCCACAAATATCTTTAACAAAAGCCCTTACTTGCAAAGTTTAAGATATACGGAAGCACAAAATGGTCATATTTTGATTAATATTTGTGTAAATTTAATGCGCTGATATTGCTTCAAGTGTAATTCTGGGATTGGATTTATAATTTGCCGTACTTAATAATTCTTATTTTCACAAAAACCCGCATTCCTGTTAAATGACAAAGGACCAAGTGAACACATACTGCCACACACAGGTTTCCTTTTCACATAAAATACTATACCTAATATTATATGCCTCCGTATAACTAACACTTATTGTTTCCGTACATCTAACACTATAGCCTCCGTAAAGCTAACACTATTTGCCTCCATATAGCTAACACTATATGCCTCCGTATAACTAACACTAATTGCCTCCGTACATCTGACACTATATGCCTCTGTATAGCTAACACTATTTGCTTCCGTATAGCTAACACTATATGCCTCCGTATTACTGGTTACTATTATTGTTAATATGCAATATAATATGGCAAACATCTGTTTTGATCTGATAAAGTTTCTGCATTTAACCTTAACGAAAAATTAATAGATGAAATACACACATTAAAAAATAGTTTAAACGCAGTAAGTGGCAAGGGGGCCATAGTGGACCACGATTGTTCACCTAAAATCATACCTTCAAGCTATATGCCAGCCACTAGGACACATTAAAGAGAGGATTTTTATGCTAATTTTCTTTATAGGTCACTATGCGTATATGACCCCAGACATTTACTCCAGAGCAAAAATTTACATAAGTTGAAAAGTTTCTCCGCGCAATGGTACGCAATCGTCGCCTTCATATAGGATAATGAGCTAATTTTGTTTTTTACATTGAGAAAACGAATTGATTTGATAAAAGAGCAGAATGTGCAGAAAAAATTATTAATGCAGTGCTTGTCCAGGCAATGAAGTAAACATATATTTTAGAACATCTCTATGCAATGAAGGTGACCCCGCTGCAAATTCGCACCCAAGAGCCATTATGTGACAAGGAGCTTGATGAAATACTACTAGATCATAAGGCCATGCTTCAAATAAATATCGTACCTCTAGATTTTGTCATGACATTTTGAACCGTGTTTTAGGGGTTTATATTAAATAAAATTAAACTCAGGACAATGCAAGTCTTGGCTCAAAGGTTATATTTGAACATTATGAATTAGCTCCTGCCTGTGTCCAAGATTTGAAATAAGCCGAAACCATTTGAACAACTTTGTAAATCTCCCTTCACAAAAACAGTCATATTTGGACCATTTGTTTTAGAGGAAAAAAGCTGGTCATGAGTACAAAGCGCTAAGGTAAGCTAAAAATTTAAAACACATCAAAACAGTTTTACATACATATGTTTAAACAAACACATTGGATATATTTTTGTTAAATGATTCATTAGATTTTAAAATTTTTTAATACGAACGTAGATCAGAAATGATAAAAATGATATTTTCAAGAGTGATTTTTAAGCATATAATTGTGTCATTTAGATATTTATTGACATTTCAAAATTTATTGACTCTGCAATGTAAATAAGAAAGTCTAAGAGTAGACATTCTTCTCTTTTGAAGCACTTTCATTTGACTGAATAACCCAAATACGTTTACGGTTACCCTTTAATGATTTATGAACTTTGTCATTTTCAAATAGATGTTTTATTCATTATTATTTTATTTCGATTCAAGTATTATGGAAGTTAGGATTACTATAATTTCTGATATATCAAATGTTTTAAAAATACTTTATTTCTTCAACAACAACAACAACCACCGCCAACAACAAAAACACCAACAACGACAATAACAAGAACAACGTCGACGACAACAACAACGACGACAACGATAACAACAGCAGCAACAAGAATAGTTACCCTCAAAAACAAACCACAAACACAACCAACAACAACAACCGCATTCATCAAAATCACCATCATCATCATTACTACCATCTTTCACCATTACTATAATTTCTGAGAAATCAATCTTTTTTAAATACTTGCGTTACTTCTTACAACAACCGCAACCATCAAAGCCATCAACATCAAAATTTTCAAAACTACCATCATTTTCCACCAATCTCAATATATATAACTGTATATACAAGTAAAAATGTTGCTGCAATGCAGCAATTGAGAAGCTCCGCGCAAAAAAAATTGCGCTCATTACAGATACCTTACCAAATTATTCCTACGCACAGTTATATTCAGATAAGGTACTATTGTAGATTTTTTCCGAATGTTTTGTAAACCATTTTTTGCATAATTATACTTATCTTATGCACTGTCCATAATTAAAAAGAGGGGAAAGATATTTAATATAAAAAAAATGCTTTTCACTGATGCCTGACCTGGTAAGAAAGTAATCCATTGAATACAAACAAGAACTTACAAGACTTGTAAATGTTATGTGACATGACTGTACTATGTTCTGTTTGTGTCACTACTGTAGTCAGTAACATAAGATGATAAAAATATCAAAGTCTGTTTATTTTTATTATTATAATTGTAACAAATATACAAATAGTAACAAAAGGGACTAATATTATTATATACTAATATAACATGCATTTTTTTCATATCAAATTAAAAAAAAATGGTTTCTTTCAATACTGAAAGTAGAACACACTCTGGAATGAAAAAAATGGGATGAATTTCAAAAAGACCAAATTCAGGATTTTTTTGTTTGTTATACACGCGTTACATGGTGATACAGTATTTATTAATATAATAGAAAATCTGGAAAGAAAGTGATCCCTCGGAAGCATTAATCACAACAAAATTACATTAAAATTGCCGACTCGGTTTGATTGAGTCTGTACACGAGGGATAATTATTAAGTGCAACATCCCTCGGGCCCCCTAGCACCGGCTTGAGAAGACTGTTACCTGAATTTTAGGCAGGTATGAGGAAATTCACTAACATCATGTTCGTGCGAGTCAAAGATATAGAAGCTATTTGACATTGGTGATATATATATATAAAAATCTTTTGTAAATTGATTTATTTAGAGATCAATATACTTTATTGTTGAATTGCTTTAAAACCATTAATAAAAAACATTACATTTTATGTTCAAAATGCAGATCAAATCAATGATGCTATCTATCTATAGCCTATGCTTAATGAGGGTCCATCCGCTCGTAAGGCCACAAAATACAGGTTTCGCTGTGGCATACCCTTCGCAGGATGAGCTATTTTTTACGGACGCGCACAGTCACGGACAGGTCGCGCCACGACAAAATGCCTCGAACGAAATTAAATACTTTATCGATTTCGAAAGAAAATACTAAAAAGCTCACCAAAATAGTGTTGGAGAACCCATAAGTTTATGAGGCACCAATGACAGATTAAAACAACATCTGGTCTTCGGTTGCTAAAGAGATGTTACTGGTATTCAATCTTTTTCCTTTTTCTTTTTACCCAATTCTTTGACGTTACAACTGATTTTGGTATTTGAATGAATTTATATCATTTCTACAAATAATTATCCTCTGTTCGCGTTACTATTAGAAAGTAATGTACATAAGGAATAATACTCACGGACATGCACCGGACACGTATCATGGACGCGGGTCTCGTGCCATTGGAATAGCGGCCTAATGAGTGATTTTGAAGCACAAAGTGGTGTGCTGTATCACTGTCGCCAAGTAAATGTAACTTTATATACTAAAGTTTCATAATTTTGAAACAACCAATATATCAACATGTTATTGTCAAACATTTAATTTCATAAATATAAATTAAGAATAATTATCAAAAGCAAAATTGTTAAAGTTTTATTCATGAAATCTTCATTATATTGACAAATTCAATCATTAATAGTATACTTGATATGCTGTGTGTAAATTAATTCAAAATGTAACAAATTATAATTCCATGTACTACTAAAAAAGGGAAATAACAAATGTATAACCTAAGTGTCAAAAATCAGAACATTTAGAGCTATTTATAGCTTTCAAATTCATGTACAGCAGAACTGCTTACCTGTTCTAATTCATTAATATGACATGTTGCGAATAACCGAAGGGGAAACCAATATAGAAATCGAAAGGAGTTCTTGAATGCGGATTTACTTTTAGCTGTAAATCGAAGGGATTAAATGATCAAATCCGGGCCCATGGACAAAAAAAATAGTAAACACAAATAGCTCCGCGCCTGTGGGCGCGGAGCAATAACTATTCTTGGGCGGGAATGGTCTTATAAAACAATAAATGTGTTTGCCATAAGATATTTGTAATAAGAAAATTAATAGTGACTGAGTCAGCCAACTGCGGTAAAAGAAGCTATAAATAGCTCGCCGCTAGAGAATCGAATCTATTCCTTATTGTGCAAGAATAAAACAGTACCAGATTTATACATACTGGAAACAAAAGATCCAAGAAATAGGTAAATATTACAGCACAATTATGAATTTTATAGTTCAGTTCATAACATTTACATTAGCTTGTCCGTCAAGAGCTGCAAATAACCGAGAAAAATACTGTATGAGGAATTCTTTTAAACATTTATGATTAAACACATTTTAAACCCATTACACAGCATTTAATTTAATTATTGATAGGAAGCGCCACGCCTCCGGAATGGAGAAAATATTCAGAGTATTCTTTTTTTAATGCATCACAATATCCTCAAAAGCACAACACCTACACAACAATGAATGATTAAGCACACGTTGGGGACGCCACTGAAAAATGAATAACACTTAAATAACACATAATGATCTCGTAAAGTGTAACATTGGCCAAAAAACCCTAGGATAAATTAGATTTTTCCTTTGTTATTTTCCCCGGTTTATACCCTGCCTATTAGAGATTGTCTGGTGGATATACGGGGACAAAACGGACAGAAAAGCCTTTGCTTATTACTACAACTATTTACTGTACTTACAATATGTTAAAATGATTTGTGCATGATGCGAACCATGCCTCTGTATATATCTTTTAACTTTTGCATTATAACACTTTATGAAACATGAATTATTTCATTGTTTATTCTTATATTGTCACCTAGCACTTGTTAAAATTTATACAAAACATGTAATTTGCTAAAGGCTGGTAACGATATGCCGGATTTTATTATCAAAAACCCTTTTTATTATTCTTTGTATTTATTATATTTTACTGGATGTTATTCATTTCGAGCGGCACCTCTTCTTTCCTTTTGCAGCACTTCCCAATGATTTCGCATACACTTTCATAACCGTCCTTTAAGTTTGCAAAAAGTATCAGAGCATCCCGTTTGAGCGCACCTAGATCCATAATAAAAACTATTAAAAATGTGACGGCAAACAATGCTATGCCGGCGTAGCCAATACTTGACGCGCTTTTACGCCCATCAGCAGCGCTTTTCTTCTTTGACATACTTGCTGCCAGTTTGTCGTTGTTAAGCTGAAAACAAAGAACGGCCACATAATATATATTTTTTTCTAAAGTGAGAAGTGGATAAATATTAAAACGCAAAACGTAAAATTAGAAAACATAATAAACTACTAGAACTATTTCAAATTAATTTTTCACCGTACGTAGTATGCATGTAAAACAATGTTTTGATATGTATAAAGTAATGATCTTGAACATGTTTGATATTACTTTTGCATATAATTTGCTTCCATAAAGATTAAAAATTTTCCTGTGACCAAGTCCACCTTTTGTGTGAGTTAACTGAAGTTAATTGTCTAATAGAAGACACGGCTTGCACCTTGATGATTATTTATATATACATACTAAAATATCATATTAACATTTAATTTATCGTCGTTTTACCTTCATGTTTATTTTGTGTTGCAAAATAAAATTTTGCTGTGCTTCCACAAGTTGTTCATGGGTCATATTCCTTTCCTTCTTTAATCTCTCAACCCATGAGCATTTGCACGTGCATGCCTTCCAGCACTGTCCCGGAACATGTTTTATCTCAAAACAAACCGGCTCATCTGGCTTTGTAGTGACGTTCAAACCTAGAATGTTAAACAGCACCTTCAGCGTTGCACATGTCAGCTGATTGAACTAACCACCTTTCTTGATCATTTATAGCAGAATTATATAAACTAAATCAAAATTTGAAATTAAAGTCAGCATTCACAGTAAACCACTGAATTAAAATAATAAAAAATAACAGCAATAATTTTATTATGAATGTTGACTCCTAGGATATGTAATATAATCTCAGGGTGTTATGGTGATAGGCATTTAAACCGGTATACATGGTATATCCTTAAAAAGACTTGTGCGAAATGAACAATACCTTTTGCCATGATAGATGATGATGATAGATGAGCTAAATATTATATGTAAAAAGATCCCGCCCTTTCCATCAAATTTTCGATAAGGACCTTCAGCAAAATAGTTTGAATACACAGAGCAGATACTTACTTCAGTCTTACCTACACTAAAAATATAAATATACAAAAAAAACAGTTTAGTAAATACTTAGATATGTTGCCTTAGTGTATGGTATTTTGATTTGTTAATATCGACCTAACTTTAAAAGTTTATTTAACGATATAAAAGTAAAAGCTACATTTTGTATATTGTATTTATTATCATGCTTTTATAGAAACTGAAAGTACAAATGTTCACCTATAAGCAATAATTTGGATTAAGTTATAATTGTATGTATACATAATTAACGCTATACATGTACTTTATGTATGTATACATAATTAACACTATACATGTACTTTCTTAAGTTAATATTTACCATAATTCCTTAAATTTTTAAAAATTACCTCGCATAAACGATAAGTATTTCATGTGGCTGTCAATATCTATTTGAATTAACCTCAAACGATCAATTTATAAAACTAGTGGGGCATTATGCTTAAATTTAAGGCAGATTTATATTTAATGGTAAACATTATCCAGTATCAAGTGTTGATTGATTACCATTAAAACAGTCAATCTGTTGAAACACATTTATGTAGTCAATTCAGTTCAATTCAACTCGGTATTTTCAACTCGGTAGTCAATTCAACTCGGTAGTCAATTCAACTCGGTAGTCAATTCAACTTGGTCATAATCGTTTTTAACAAATAACTTACCTAGTCAGTAAAAGCTATACACATTTACTGATTGAAAAATAACATTATGCTTATTACCGCTATTCTAGTTTATTTCTACTTCAAAAGCCTAATAGTGACCAGTTAGTAATAAGTTCCGCGTTATGACGTCTTTAACATCGCGTTCTTGGTTGCTGCTCGACATTATGCGATAAGGGCCCGAAGATGTGTATAATGGCCTTTGGACTTGAGGCCATCATTGCATAATAGCGAGCAGCAACCAAATATCAACGTCGTTAACACTTATGTCCGAAATACGGCATTTAGAAATCACAGCTACTCTTGGTTGTCGCCCTTTCTAAGAAACGCACAGTTGTCAATGTAAACAAATTTCTGTTACTCAGTTTTACCCTATGATAATCTTAGAAAACATGAAAACTCATAATAAATATCAGAAAAGGTGGTTTATTGTTAATATTGATAAATACTCTCTATATTATTTGTGACAATAAAATTAAGTGCCATTTTCTATGAACTTGTGTACTTTCTAGACTAATCTCTAGCCCTAAATGCCACAGATCCGATCTTTATCTACGGTCAATCTGAAATCATTTTTTGATTTTCTATATTTTGTGCTTATAAATCTTCATCTTAAGCGTTGTTGATTGCGATTGATTATGTAATCTAAACTTGAAATTTTGCGTGCAATGGGCTTCTGTTTATTCAACGACAGCGGCCAACATGAAAGTTAGAGAGAGTCGATTACGTCATCTTGCACGTGCGCTCATTCACTCGCCCATTATGGAAAAATAATCCCGAGATGCAAGCGGTCAAAAGTGTATAATAACCTAGATCTTGCCAAAATAGCCTTAAATACCCTTGCTTTTGTTACTATATATAGTCACTTAAGTAATAAATATTTTTATTCGCGTTAGTACTCCTTTCTAGTCGTAATTAGGCCGTTTTTCGAGTTTGCGTTATAACGCCTTTATTTGCGATACTACAACTTTCGTTTCGCGTAATTACGCCTTCTTTTTACGCTTTATTTGCGTTATAACTTATTTTCAATATTCTATTTCATTCAATTTGATGCTATTAGGCTTTTGTTGGTATAATTAAAAAAAAATGTTTTTGTAGATAATTGAAACAAGTGAACTATATAACACTCACTTAAAATTTTGTCACCACCGAAATCTTCCCCAAAGTCCCCATCAAGATCATTATCTGAAGATAAAATAAACATTGCGTCACAAATTTTATTCTTTTTTGTTATGTAAATATAAAAATAACAATAAGAATAAACCATTTTACATGTATTTTAACCAATTTACATGTATTTATGTAACAAATGAAAGAAAAAGTCAGATAACTCTACAATATAGTGTTATTTTTTCTCACTAAATAGTTTTATGTCTAGTTTGTTGTTTTTATTATCATTATTTTTTATGTGCATATTTCGATTGCTTGTGCCCTCCTGGGATGCACGTTGGCCGTCCTGTGTTGATAGTGTTTGTTGTTTGATACGCTCATTGTACGCCGCCCTTCCTTCCATATATTTTTTGGCCGTGTAAGCACCTTGTATATAAATATCAATTCAAATATTTGTAGTTTATATTGCATATATATATTTTTTTACTTCTTTTATTAAGCATATGAATACAAATGCAAGACACAACCTAGACCATTGAATATAAATGTTTTTATATGAATATAACCCTCCATCCTTTACCTTCTTTATAAATCCCGTAACCATCACCATAGAAACCATCTTCATCTATCAAACCATCACACTCATTGTCAACCCCATCACCGTGTGTCGACGTTGTTATATTGCAGATATTCTTCTTTTGCTAAAATGTAAAATCATGCGCGTACTTGATCTTCAAAAGATATTACAATTAAAGAAGAATTTCAAACATTATGATGTCTACATCAGTAGTTACTAAGATTTGGCTCTGCGTATTTTTTAAAGGGATAAAATGTCTCTCAGATCACGATGTGAAGATTTTCGCGAAATTAAACAAGCATTTCAAACATTATGATGTCTACATCAGTTGTTACGAAGATTTGGCCATGCGTATTTTTTCAAAGGGATACAATTTCTTTCAGATCACGATTCGAAGATTTATGCGATTTTCACTCATTTTTAAAGTATCATATACATGTACATTGAACATAAATGCTTAGCCTAGTGAAAATCAGCGGATATTTAATTGGTTCAAAGTAGAAGGTATGTAGGTATGTGATACATCACAACAAATCGCTACAAAAGTTAAAAGGATGTTGTTTGTAATCGCAAGATGCATTATCTGATATTACTTATACAATGCAAACATATACATGTCTTCGTAAAAAATTATAAGAATATCCAAATGAAACATTCTATTGTTATTTGCAATATTTATAGAAATTATGCCCGTAAAGGACCGATAAACTTTAACCTAGCTTTTATTTCAAAATGTTAAATATTCACGAAATTTCAGCCTCATGAAATTTTATAGTATTAAAATAATTCCAATACGAGACAAACAACCTTAGACTGACCCTTTTTAACTTTGATTGGATGACTATTTCCTGAACTTTCAAAAGCAAAAGGAGAATACTGTAACAATATCAATAGCCACCATTTATTGGATTACCTAATACAGCTACGTGGCATAACTTTTGTTACCTTAGTTTTATTTATTTTATGCAATCAATTTTGATTACAGTTGCCAAAGATATTTGCATGAAACATATATTTTGGTTTTGGTTGGATTTAAAGTTGAACCGACACTATTTCCAAAGTTCAAATGACGACTTTCAAGCTTATGACAGTTGAGGAAGGCCCGAGCGGACACCTGAGGTTCAACTTTATTTCCTGTAAAACATAGAAAAAGTAGAACCATTACGTTTTGTTCGGCCGTAACAGTATTAAAGCCTCATACACATGTTCGAAAAAGTAGCAAATATCGTTTAAATTAACAATATATTTTTAGCTTTGTCTTATGATCTATCACATATAAAATATATTTTAATTATTATTAAACAATATCATATATAAAGAAATCAAAATTGTATTCCTCACTTGTGAAAGGTATTTTGCTTTTATAGGTCCTGGAACGATTAGCCACTTTTTGCCTGAATGCAACATTGCCATTTCATATTTGGATTCGCCAATACTTATTTTCTGTTTGAATAGCTCTAGGTGTCCGTCTCTGCCTATCAACATTGTCTCATTTTTTACAACAAGGCTTTGGTCGACAGAAAATGTCGTAAATTCTGTTTTTGTATTATCCATATCAGAGTAACGATTTGCCGGGACGGATGTCAAAATAGTGTCGTGATGATTTTCAGTGGAAGGTAACAAACTGAATGAATATTTGCTGGAATCCTCCCTATCTTGTAGATATAATCCAATCGCGATATTTCCTACTGATGTTAAACGATATGGCACAGCTACGTCTATTTCTTGTTCAATCTTATCTCCTTTGTTATATATTGCATGTTTAGCATCAAAGCCGCCAGATATTGTCACAATATTGTTATCAGTATACGAAACGATGTGCAAAATGCCTTTAAACTGACGTTCATTTGATTCAATTTCCACGGTAGGGACAACGTATTCGTTAGACCATGTGTCAACCGTTAGGAAAAAGTTAATTCTACTTATACTACCAGGAGAGGTGTTGCTATCATAACAAAACACCATAGAAGGTTTATTAAATTCTAAACTGGTTCCAGAAATTTCATAATTTGTTTGCAACTTTAATTTAGAATAATCGTCAACAGAAATGCTCTCGGAGTCTTTTAAAGAATTGTTTGAAGTACCTGGAGTTATACCCGAGAAATATGCCGTAACATGAACATCTACATGTTCGGATATAAACATGCATTTCTGACCTGTTTTATTATGTGAAAAAAGCACGAACTCTGTCCCAAATGTATCAACTGGGTATATTCTAGAGCTTCCAATTTCCGTATTATTTCCGCCAAAAATATAATATACAACTACAGCAACATCGTCATCACTTATTATTTTTAAATTGAGAATGTTACCAAAGTTTGAGCAGTCATAATATCTTTCGCCATATACGTTTCGTGAACTGGAAATAGATGCCTCATGTGGTATGCCGCGTTGTTTTCTTGTCACTCCAACGTTGGTATTTTCATTGAGTGATGTTACTAAAATCCAGCATTTTTGCAAACGCTTGAAAGGTAGTCTTAACACGAATTTCCTACCATAGCTATCTGCAAAGCCTGTCATTGCAAAAAAAGAATAAGTAAGTAAGAAAATAAATAAAATATGAACGTCTCATATCAATAAACATGTCTGCAGTCTGTTAATCTTCATATTGTAAGACATTTTTTTACTGGAACTTTAAATGTCAGCCACTTACGGTACTCAACTGTATACAGTTTTCGCAAATTTTTGTTTGTCTTTTTTCTGACAGGTTTAGAGCTAAATGTCGATTGTATTTGATAAATAAATCCTAGAAAAATGTTACCAATGAATGAAACCACTGAACTTAGCATGTAAACTCATTTTTAATGTTTTGAATACCACACCTGTTTTGCAGCCGGCCATTTTTGTTACTACTTTTGTTTACTTTACACACGACTAGCACTCGCAAAGCAACGCTGGATGATGTACTTTCTGATAAAGTTTTAAACCTCATTTTTAAGATGAAACATCGTATTCCTGAGAAAACGTTATATTTGTGTGTTTTATTGTTTTATTGGTTTGCAGTACATTTCATTGACCAGAAACTTAAAAGTTATTTTACCCAACAAAACGTATAAGGACCCCGCTAAAACAATACAGCGACTTTTCCCACGAAAAACCGGGAAGCGTTTTGTTGACCCTAAGAGATATCTGTGGAGCGTTCTTTCAAAAAAGTTATACACTGTTTTGAGTCTGTTGCATATAAATAACCCGTCTTGCTTTCATTCGGGGTCTTCCAGATTTGAAATTCTCTCATGCACATCGTATTTTATTTTAAAAAATTGTGCATTAAAGTTAGGGGGTAAAGTTAATTTCTTCTTAGAATTCCATAAACTTTATATCTTATCTTTATTGCATCTACTTAATGTTTCGATATACAAATGTATATGTTATCTTTGCAATTGACGGATGCGCGTCATGTTTTTGGCTTCGCCGCGACTGTCCACCGTGTTTAATGACCTAATTTCATTCAAGAAATGTATTTTAATTTACTGATTTTTGTATTTGTAAGTTCATGAACTGATTGTGAAATAATAATTATATTACAATACATTGATCGACTCTAGAAACTGTTTCCTTTATGTTCAGTTAAGATCTTTCCCAATATTATTATAGAATATTAATTTAATAGTTGTAATTCCAAACATTAAGAAGCGATCACCCCACCAAACACTCAAGTCGGCCCTATTACAGTCACGGTGAGCAGCTTGAACTTGAGCAGCCTACGATTGAAATGGATTACTTAACAGTTCACGCTGCCAGGTTACTAACAAACTGCAGAGCCCTATTAAAATAGATCTTGACAGCTCACAATGACTTGCGTTGCAAGAGGGAGCCTACCAGATCACAGATACAGGTCTTTAAATTTGTAAATGCACATCATTAAAAAGAAATGCTTACACTTATATGACCTGAAAATACAAAATGCCGTCAGGAAATTACTCCTATGTATTTCAACTAAAACATAGCAGAACATAAGAAAACATAAACAGAAACAATGTCCTCAATTCATCGCAAAATGTTTATGATCTATAGTTTCGGAAGAAAAACAACCATATAAGCAAGGATTCTATGTTATATTGGTAACTTACATATTCCACAATATTTTGCACAATAATATTTTGCAAAGTCTGCATATCGTGTACAAAAGCCTTCTTCATACTTAGAACAATTCACAAGTCTATCTGTACAGCGCCATTCTGAAATGTGATAAACAAGTATCCAGGGTTCATAAACATTTGTCATGAGTCGCCGCTTCATGTAACCTCCCTCTTCGTTTAAAACGGAAAATGACGAAACGTTTTCGTAAAATGACAAAGCTTTAGGGTCATTGAGGAAAGATTGTGGAATTTTACGAGCTAGTCTTCAAGTGACATTATGTCCATTCAATTGTGTAAAGTTAGTGAACAGGTGAAAGTCATAATAATTTTATATTTTGCCATAATTATTTTCAATTTTATAATTCACTTCGCATTCATGAACGATAAATAACTCACGTGGAACAAGGGAATTTCTATTAATATCCATTAGAATTTGTCTGTAACATTCAATTTATATAAAGAGATGGCAGTTTTTTAAAAAATATTTTAGGCAGATTAATATTCCATTTTAAACATTTTTCAAATATCAACTATTGGTTATTCATCATTATTACAGTCAACCTATTTATAAATATGTAGTCATCTCAGTTCAACTTGACAATGAAAAAATGAGCGTAATGTCACTTTAATGAATGCTAAAGGGAAAGTTTTTACATCTGATATATAGAGGATATTGAATGAATGTTAATTTAATACCAAATTTATTAAAGCCATATTACGAGAGCCTCTTCCAAGCGTAGCGTACTACAGGTTGATTATAATTAGTATTACGTTTACACGAATAAAGTATTACGTTTACACGAATATAAAGACCGCCTCCGTGGCCGAGGGGTTAAAGTCGATGACTTCTAATCCAGTTACCTCTCTGGCGTGGGTTCGATCCCCGGGAGATGCTTTGGTAGTTTAGCACGGAGGAAGGTAGTCTAGTACTGGTGTAACTCTCCGGGAACGATGGTTAGGAAACTACCCGCCCAAATGACTGAAATACTGTTGGGAAAATGCGTAAAATGAAACAAACAAACAAACAAACAAACACGAATATAATACTGTATTATTTACTTAACTTAAAAAAATAAAGGTTTACAACCTAAAGTCATTTTTCATTGCCGTGCCTATATTGTAACCCTGACGTTTTAACATTTTTTATAATGCAAATTAATGACGTGACGATGGTGATTTCCAGATTATTTTTTTTAGATATTTCAAGTGAATAAATGACGTAAATTCACTTAAGAGACTGACAGGAATGATAAAATCGGCCCGCAGAATAATGAATAATGACCCTCGGAATTGTTGGAGCCCTTACCCTTTTGGGCTCGAGCACAAACCGTTCCTCGGGACTATGCGGACGTTATAACACGGAAAAACGTGCATTTACCATATATAAACTACACTGGCGATATAACATTTTGTTGTGTCGTCATATATTTGCGTTATATAAAAACATGGCGTTAACGAGTGCTCATTATTTTTAATTACTTTTTAATTACTTCAATATTAAATGGTTTAATTATTTCAATATCAAATGGTTGAAACTATTGTTTTTGTAGAGTTGAATCCCTCATATACTTTGTCCACTAGAATCAAGAAGCAAGTAATATTTTCTTCTTATTATTATTTTTCCTACTTTTTATTTCTATTTCCATAAACAATTACGCTTTAGTGTTATCATAAAATGAAGCGATCATAATAAACATAATTTAACTTTACAGCTCTCTGTTTTGATGACGTAACATATGTCGACATTCTTTCAGTTTTTGCACGTGCTCGTTGTTAGCGGGCAAATTGCAATTATGAGTTTCGGCCGCGGTTCGCCAACTCTTAATTGGTCACGTGACACTCATAATCACTTAAAATCATAGACAATTTTATGACTTTATATAGTAACACATTTTAACTAGCAGTTTTATGAACAGGAGTAAGAGGATCAATTTGGATATACCTTGTATTTGAGAATAAGCTCATGCAATATTTGATTCAGGATATCAGAAAAATATCTACTCAACCTATCTGAAAACTGTTTTAAAGAAATGTTATCGGAAATGACGTATGTAGCGTTTAGCTTGACTAGTTAATTTAAACCACACTCGAGTCCGCATTTTGGAACATCAAGTTAGAAAACATGGTCGAAAGAAGACAAAAACTGACACCATGGTACAACTCTTTGTTAAGAATGAAGGTTACATTTGAACGGGACAGATGTATATTATATGTCTGGCGTAAAAAACTACATTTTTATATTAAGAAATTCAACCAAACATTTACAAATGTTTTACAAGTTTGAGCCCAAGTTTACCCATCCCCATTTAAGTTAATGTTGATTTTAATTTTCGCTTACCAGTTTCGTATTCCTTGCAACCATTGACATGTATAAAATCTGAAATAAATGATAATATTCAATCGAGGCGAATCTACACTTTATTCCTTTTCAACTTAGAGAAAACATAATTTTTTGAATTAAAATTAAAATTATAGAAGAATTAATTCGAAAAAGTGTGTAAATATACATTTTTTATGATCGAGTGAATCAATAAGGAAAATATGAATAAATAAGTATAAACACACACCCCAATTAAAGATTGCTTCCGAAACTGTGCCCATCAGTGAAACATTTGTGATAGAGTCTGTCGTTTGAATTCGTATAACATTGTCCTGCGTGGAACCTTGAAAACACTCGTCTTCGTTGTGATAGCCAGTTCCAAGACAAAACATACTATTAACTTGCCGGAACCAGAAAAACGACATGTCTGATGTACAGCTGATACCTGCGTCTTTGTTGAAACTAAAATATTATAAATGTTTAATGTGATTTCACTGACTTTTTAGATTGTAAATGAAATGAACAAGTGAAAGGATCTAAAAAGAAATCCAAGGTACACAATTATACATTCTGACCGAAATTACTGTAAAGTTTCAAGACTCAAATCGAACCCTATTTGAGCCACAGGTGACTAAATTGAAAATTCCAAATTATTACTGTCAGTCAAGGGCAATTACTCTTACAAAACTTGATTAATCAACACGCAAATCCCCAGGTGCACAACTTCATGCTGATCAACATTTCTGTAAAGTTTGTTGAAAACATCAGAGCTACATGTCACTTAACATTTTGGAATGGAGGCACTCACAAACGGACAAGGTAAATCTATATGCCACTTTCCCCTTAGTGTGGGGGTATAAGTATGCTATAGGCGGGTATTTATTTTAAATGTTTCAAGTGCTATAAACGGTTACAATTATTATCTTAAACACCTAACTTTTTATCAGTTTCGAACATATAAACTATTTACAATTTACAGTTAACATTTACGCACACATCAAAACGCTGCATTTTATTAGGTAAACCCTTCGTTTCCATTCTTTTCTTTTGTAGCACTAAGTCTTGTATTTTTATTGTTTGATCGATAAAAGAAAACGAACATAAACAAAATGGTATATGATCGTTATCTTTTGATTTATATGAAATATATTTAAAACAGAGATTTCTATTATCACCAATCGAAAATTTCTGTACCTTATCGTCAATTATTTTCATATCGATATCTGACCGTTGAGGTTCTGGACATTAATTATATCGAATAGTTTCTCTTTGAATGTTAAAATTCATTCAGGTGTACTGAATATATAAATAAACAATCAGTTGTTGCTACACCAGTAGACATAATATAATGCATTATGCAAGTGGTAAAAGTTATATGAAAGTTAATGTGTTGTACAGTTAGATAATGGCTATTGATTATTTTTAATTACTTGTTTAAAGAAGACCTGTCCCCGGACAGCACGCTCCACTTTTCTCAGTGCTCGATATTAAAATAAAACTTAGTAGAAAAGGGGGAACTATTCTGCAATCGTGCTTGACAGACATATCTACCATGATGGTACATATTTTAGGTTTAGATGTGAATGTGATAAAATGTAAATATTTTGAGTAAAAGGGACTTTCATGATAACCTCCCCCAAAGAAATGCTTTAAATTGTAATTGATCAAATACTTAATGATTTAAGTAAATGTGTTTGATATTTTTTGGGGAAATGTACCATCCAAAAAAAGGATAACCTTGAAACTCGTATTCTTAAAAACCATTCTTTTGCAAAATTTAAATTTAATCAATTACAAAGAATTGGTCTTGACAATAGCTCCATTTTTTTCTTAAAAAGAAGTGGAGCATATAATGGTTTTAGTTTGACAACACAACACTTTCAACCGTTAAGATAAATAGATAAATAAGAAAATAATAATAAAAAATAGAGAAAAAAGAGATAATAAGAGCAAACATAATAACGATATAACCTGTCTTCAGTTGCACTTTTATCATGAATTTGACAGGAAGTTTCGCATGAGGCTATCTGTATTCCTTCATTGCTAACTAGTGCATCTATCGTAGTTGACAAGCTCATGAATCGCAAAGTTGCAGACCCGCAAACCTGAACTCTAAGATGAAGCGCATGCTCTGAATATTTTTGCAAGTCTAGGTGATAAGGAAGGTTTGGTGCCGTTGTGCCTTTGCCACCTTCTGTATAAAGATAAGACAACGGAATGAACAATGATTGTTGCAGTAATAGAGCTTTAAGTTTCTTTTTAAACTTTTACGAATATAATTGCAAGAATATGAAGATAAATTTTCAACAAAGTACATGGACATACTTATACGCATATATTGTTCATTTCAATCATCAAGTAGCGAAAGTGTACATGGGTTTAATATTTACTCTTTTTGAATGTCTTTGTTTGTATAAAGTAATGTTAAATGACAAGAATGTGACAAGAGATTATGTATGGTTTAAATATATCAGCAATGTACAAATCAAGTGAAGAAATGGAAAGAATGTTTACATGCTAAATATTTAGTTTTGCCGAGATTTATGTTGGATAATTGTTTGACTCTTTGTGAGGTTATGATTCATAACTAAAGTAATATAAGTTTCCTTCTTGGATCTGATGTTAAAGTCATCCGGGGAAACATGAACACTATAAATATGATTGCTATTATTATTATATTCCTGTTAAAGATCATTGCAATTAGATATGCACAAAAATACGAGCACAGGACAAATTCGACTAATTACCCAACAAATGACGATATTGAAAACTTTTGATATTTCACCGAAATTTTAGTTTGTTCTTGCTTGTGTGTAGGATAGGAACAGTATTTTTAGTATTTACACGAAATTAAACTTTTTGGAAGCTTTGTATGCATTTGCGTCTTACCTTATGAAGTTAAGAAAGTTGAAAATCTAGCACTGTTAGATAACACCGAGGGATAAAGAATCTTGTTTTCAATTATGCTAAATATCTAATAATGTGACAGTTATATTTATTTTTTAAATTATTGATTGCACTGCTGGTTACTAATAACTTCATCTTTTAGAAGTAACGAATCTAAACTTCTTCGATACATGTCATATACTTGGAATAGTGCTGAGCAACTGATTTCCTGCTTGTGTATGAGATTTTAAAATATCTTCAATCCTGTTGAATTAAAAATTTCTTTTTAAGATCCCCTGTCCCTTAGGAATATAGTTTTGTATTTAAAAACAAAGAACGCCGACTAAAATTTTAATTTATTTCTAAACAGAACGCTTATGATATATATTACTTGTTTCTGAATATTGACGACACGTTGATAAATAAATAGAATACAGATAATATTTATCATGTATTTAAAAAAAAGAACTCTGATTATTTTCATATTTTGTTTTTAATTCTAACACTACACATGATTTTGTCACTATAGACAAACACCGGTAAGGGACTACTTGTAAATGCGCTGTTATGTTTTCACCCTTGATTATATAGTTTACAAAGCCTTTTATTACAGCAATGCAAAGCATTTTTATTTATATTTTTAGTTCTTATAATATTTTCTTTTCATACAATACCGAAATAATATCTCACATACACTAACGCCACATATTAGATCCATATCAGTTAATAAATATTTTGACAAACGGCGCCAATCTATAAGCAGCGTAATGATTTCATTCTAAGTAAACAACTCATTTATAAACAAGCTGACGTTATTTCATACATACAAGAGTGATAAACAGGGTACTGATGTAAACATAATACGACGTAAGTTTTAATTGTTGAAAACTTGATAAAATAACGTTTTTTCTTATTATTACCTTTGTTTAATAATTTCTATATCTTCGCAACAGTAGGGTGCGAATATGCGAAAATCGCTACCGGAAATTATTACCGCTTGAAAAATAACATTAGTGATCTTTTTTATTTTATCGTGTTAGAATCGAAATAATATCGGTCTTAGCAGTGTTTATCGGCTTTTAAACACCGGTTTTGTCGTTTTGATGCGAAAAAATTAACAACTATGGCCTTCGTGGTCCATTCATACGCATCAAAACTCCATACCGGTGTTAAATAGCCAATAAACACGGCTAAGATCGATATTATTTCTTAAATAAACATAATGCAAATATTTATTACTTGTTTTTAAACAAAAAGAATGCTGATAAATGTCAAGAACGCTTATAATATTTATAGCTTGTTTCAAGATTGAAAGAAAGCTGATATGACTATGATAATATCAAAAGCTATTTTTAGATGTATAGAACGCAGTTGATATTTTTTACTTGTTTCTAAATAGATAGAATATAGAGTTATAATATTATGTTTGTGTCTAAATACCTTTGCATACTCCTCCAGGATATTCAGAAGTTTCAACAGGAATCGTTCCAAACACATTCTGTATAAGAATTTTTTTTATTCTTTATTGCCAGACAAAATATGTAGGGAAAGGAGGAAATACTATTATATGTGTAACAGTGTTTTGTAAGTATTTCCAATTTTCCAAACACCAACTGTCTATACAATCAAACAACAAATGTTCTAGTATTGGTGAATCATACGTTTATAAAATACAATGTAACAAGATTTTTAAAATTTTAAGAGAAAGAAAGACAACAACAACAACCAAACATGCTAGCAAGGTTTTTGCAGCAAAAATAAAATAAAGACTAATAAGGAAAGACGAGAATCAACAAGGAAAAGGCAATGTTCACAGGACGCAGTCCCCGACATACCCAAGTACAACATATTTTCGATTTCAACAAGTTCAAGTCTTTACAAAAACGCTCCTATATCGAAAGCTGAACAGGAATTAGGAATGTTAGAGTGAATTATATTTCTAGAAAATAAATTTTACTTTTGACTTTATAACATCTATTAAAATTCCATTTGAGACAAAAAATAATAATGCCTATTAAGTAACACCAAATTGATTTCTTGTTCGTTGGATGCAGCGGAATTGTTTTGAAAAAAGGAAAAACTATTTGTTTTTTTTAACGACGCATCTTTAAAAATCTTTAACAGAAAAAAAAAAGAAAAATAAAGGTAAGATATTCCCGTTGGAGAAGATTAACTAAAAAAGTATTTTGGAACATTCAAAACTGTGAAAGTTTAACCTGTCTGATAAAGTGCATAACACAGTGTGTATTGTTTAGGAAGTGCCGATGTTTGTGAGCGCTAAAATAGCTTTACATGCTGATATCATTGATATGATGATGTGGACCTATGAGAAAGTACCCATCTGATGAAAAACATAGATCCGCACATTTTATTTGGTGTAGGATTACCATTATTGTTATTCAAAATTGCTTCAGAGTGTTTTTAACTGTTGCCGGCAACATATTCTAACCAGGCAACTGGCGTGTACATGCTACCTGATCATGATTTGCATTGTTGGCTGTTTAGTCAGTGAATAATTTTTTATTTTCTCTAAAAATGATGAATGGTTTAATATATATAGCTTGGTAAGGGTTCAAATGAAATTATGTTTACAGTTTCATAATCAAGTTGAGTCGAATGCATAGAGCCTTTCATGACCATATTGTTTCAATTTAAATTAACGAATTTATGCATTACAAAAAGAATGTCGCCGCCACAAAATATTTCTTAAGAAAAGAACACATTTTAAAACTATTGTCATTCAAATAAATAGGGATTATAAGGATTCATCAATTGGCTATATATTTCAAAAGATTTATTGGAAAATGGTAAGAATGCAATACTAATCTTCCTAAATATTAAAAGGCTTAAAAAGCCCACTCTTTTTCCAAATTGAAAAAAGGTTAATTTTGATGATTATTAACAGAAATTACATAGGGCCAATTGAAATGAGTTATTTCTCTTTCATTCGAATAAAATACAATTTTGAAAATAAATATAGCAAAATGTATTTATATTTACTTTTACCTCTCCAGTCATTTTGTATCATTGGATGGCAAAATGTCACTAAATGTAAAACATTATAATTTCCACTCTCTTGCTAATACTGGAACTTTTCATAATTTTAAAGGAATTGGGGGTACAAATAGACTTGATCTGTTTTTCTTCTTCGCTCGCTACTCAGACATGCGAATTTGTATCGGTTTTTTTTCTTCGCTAGCTCATCAAAATTATGTATTAAGAAAAGAAAACATATATTTTCGCTCGCTGAAATGTTTTTATGTAAAAAAAAAAAAACTCTGTAGAACAAGAAATCTATTTAGTGTGGCCTAAATGTATATTTCCTGTATTTAGTTTAACGTAGATTTCTTGAAATTATTTATGAATGATTATGTAATTGCAGACATATTGTTTGTAGTTAAAGGTAAAGAATCTAAATATTGCAATGCAGAGCTGGTATTAAACCGTCAAATAGCTAAAGACTGTCCGTAAGACAGCGAAAAAAGATTCTGATTGCTGGTAGGTAATAAAAGCGACAAAACATTGTAAGACGGCAACTTAGAGTTATGGGACTGAGTCCATTGTGTTGGATAATCACAGATTTTAAAGAGAACAAGAGTGTAAAGTTAAATCCAATTCCCTTAAGCAGTTTTTGAGATACCAACGAGCAGAAAGCACCTCGGGTGAGTTCAATAGCAACCGCTTTGCTTCGAATAGTAGAGATTAAATGTATATAATTTAGAATTAGGAGCAATAAAATGATAACACATATTCAAAAAAATCGTCTTTAAAGAATAACACTTTGAATGAACTCATACCAAGTTTTGAATTAATGTTGAATGTTCATTTCTATGAGCATTTTTATATTATCAAGAACATACCAAAATCAGTTGCGTCGCATCCTTAGTGTTGATATTAAATACACATCTAACCTTATTGTATAGAATTCCAACTGGCAACAAAATAGTCTGGCCACATTTAAGTATTCCGCTTATGTTAGATGCTTCATTTTCCAGATTAAGTACACTTCCGCTAGCGTTTCCACGAATGTTCCCTATAACGTATTTCGTGTATTTCACTCGTGAACGATCCTTTGTTTGATGACAGTAAAGAAGGTCATTTTGGTACGAAAGACTTGCAGAAATTTTGTTACATGATCTTTTTTCTGAAATAATATTTGCATTGTTGGAGATCAAGTTATGAATGCACGATGACTTCAAATGCTAACGATTTAACATATATTTTAACATGTCTCGTAAAGTGAAACATAGTATAATTTGTAAACTTTCGAACTTTGATCATATTTGTGATTCATTCCATATGAAAGTAATTACTAGGATTAATCACTGTCTATATCATTTTAACAATAACTTATGCTAATCAAAATGGGTAAAATGTTGTTTGTTTTACCTGAAACAATTTGAAATTGCGTAGTTGAGTAAATGTCCGGACAAGCAACCTTAAAGGAGTGCCAAGAATTTTGTACTGATGGAACTACAGTCATACTTAGCATTGATGTTTCGTCTTTTGTGGCGTATGTTAGTCCAGATATCTGAATTACCTAAAAATACACACTATCCTATTTTTTATAACTTACCCAAGACAATTAATTCAAAGGGTGATTAATTTTATATTTTTTTAAATTATTATTCATTTGAAGCAGCAACAACAATAATAACAAATACAACAGCAACAACAATAATAATAATAATAATAATAATAATAATAATAATAATAATAATAAAGAAAAATATAATAATAAATGCTTAAAAGGACACACTGAGAGGAAAGGAAAACTATAACTTAAGTACTCATATTTCAATCAAAACACGAATATCCTGTACCTGTATTGGGTGTGAAGCCTGTATGTGACTTCTCGTCCCATTGCTAAGCCGTCGTGTCACGGTCTGATATCTCTCTGTCATGTTGAAGGACGGGAAGCCGCTCATCATGGTTACCACCGTGCTTGTATAGTGACTCACTATCTTCAAAATATCACCATATCCATTAGAGCCTAAGGTCTGGACTACAAACTCCTTTCCCCAGTGTGAAGAAGGCACAAGTTGTTCCATTGTATGAGCAACAATGTCGCCATTAGTTACATTTCTTGATCCAACAAATACAGCAATAGGCTTAAAACTAAAAATAACTGTTCCGGTCAGATCGTATGTGGTTTCAAGCTGTAAGGCATCAAATCTGTTCATCGTAAAGCCTTTGTCCCTATGTGAGCGGAAATACGAGGATTTATTACAAAGTGCTATTTCTTCGACTTTTTCTGGAATGTCGACAAAAACTTCTGTGTTGTTTTCTACCGCAGCTATAGCAATCTGACAGTACCCACCTACCGCACAAAATGTAGCGACGACGAATTCGTACACAGTTTTATTGACTTGGTTTGGTCCTTTCAGTTGTTGTATTGGAATTGCTAATAAGCCCTCTGCGTAGCCATTCCTCTTGGAGAAAACTTGTAACACAAAATTGCCGTCATCTGAATGAACTTCAAGAGACTTATTGCTTAATTCAGATCCATTCATAGCCATTTCGTGCTCAAGTGTTCGGATTTTTATTTCATTAGCTTCCACTGTCAATGTCTCAACTGTTCCGTGAATGTCTGTCGAAAGAAAATTGACATGTGATGCCTATTTTAAAGGACAGATTCGTTTAAATGTTAGACTATTTACTTTGTGTTAAATAGAGGGTTAATGTACCTTTTGTTAATTGAAATTTGCAAATAATACAAAGGAGCCTCCTAGCTGATATAACTAAGTCAGATTTTTTTTCTCACATATTTATAATAATATTCTGATAGCTGCACAAAAAATTGAAAATGATTCTAGAACTATGGGGACAGAATGCTTAACAAAGTATTCTTTTCATACAAAGAAAAAATATATTAAGTTAAAAACACTGATAAAACTATACGATGGTTATAAATACAACATTTTTCCAAACTATGTAGATTCTATATGCCAAATATCTTAGGTCTTGGCATGGTAATTTCACAAAAGAAAACGTTAATGTATTTTCCTATACACCTCTAAATAAACTAAGTGACCCCAAAGACTGGGCCAATCTTGACACGTTGGACATGATTTATACTACAAGCAAAATGTTTAAGCTCTTGGCATTGTAGTTTAAGAGAAAATTTTTGAGACATTTTCACTTTACAAGTCTATGTGAAAATTTAATAAAAAGCCCCTGGACAAAAACTTACATAACATTTATCAAAATAAACGAACATTTGTTTCCTTATATAATTATATTTTTTTGTATTTGCTTCATACAAAGAAAAAAATATATCAGACAAAACGATTCAAGCGATTGTAATAAATTTGAAATAAATAGTAAACAATCTTTGATAGGCAGACGTAAGAGTTTCAAAAAGATGATTTAATAGGATAAAGTGCTGCAAAACCAAATACTTACTATTTATTTGTACAGATATCTGTCTTAATTCTTCATTAGCAATGATAAGTTGATATTCAAGGTTATAGCCATTGCTTGGTAAGTCTTGCCCAAGCAGGGCAATAATATATGTTGTTGCACCTTCAACTACAAAAAGAATTCATCTTCCATCAAATTATATACATAATTCAAGATTCAGTGTTATTCACTTACGCATTTTTCGAACTCCACTGTTCAATTTCTTGCAAACATTATGTCAATTGAACAATATTGTATTTCGTTTTACAACGTAGTAACTTATTGTGTTATTTTGTTAAAATTGTGCAAAATATTAACGTCAACGTCACAATGTCACGCAACAAAAACAACCTATCAAATTAATGTTTCAACGTTCAACTCACTAGATGTAATACTTCTTTTGGAGGAGGCCCGGGTAAGTAGAAAACACAATACGTCTGTGCAGACTTTGTTAAATGTTTTTGTGACGGTTTCATGTACAGACTCAATCAAACCGACTCTGCAATTTTCATGTAATTTTGCTGATTAATTGCTTCCTAAGATATTAATTTTTCCCAGATATTTTGACATCTCATCCAAACAACATGGCAACTTGCAAATGTATCAACTATTACCTATTGCGCCTTTTTTAAAGGAACACCTATATGGAGTTTATCATTGATAGGGATGAGTTGCAGACACATAATTATGATGGGAATAAAAGGTGTGCAGTTTCTCTCCCGTTAAGAGTCGAACAATGTTTAGGGAATCTGTATTTTGTATGTGTGTTTCAAGAAGTAGCTACATTCTCAAATGTATATGTATAACTCCCACATTGCTTACATTTTTTTATAATCAACAATTGTATTCAGGACTAAAATGATGTACAAATTCAACATAAATCATACATGTTTATTGGATATTTTAAGTGCACATTGTAAACAAACTCATTGTAACATATTTCATTTTGACACTAAAATAGAAACCTATTACTTTGGTGATCAATAATGATACAAATATATTTATATACGATTTGTAATTTAAGATAATAATATAATTCATTTGTTTTTGTGCCAGACGACTTACCTTCAACAATTTGAATCACAAAACAGAAAAACACGCTGGATAAGGAGAAACCCTACAAGAAAAGAAGTAATGAATACAAATATAATACGACACAATAATCGACACAATAGTAAAATGAGTAAAATGTTTAGTAAATCATTCGTGCTAGTAGAGCACATTGATGTATGACGTCATAATTTTAAACAAAAAATACACCGACAACGATTCGCGTAAGATTAGCTAGCTGCTAGTTGTTTATTGGCTATATATTGAAAATAATTACATGCTTTGTCGACACACACATCGCCAAATTATTGATGTCGCCGGCTGGCCAAATTATGAAGTTCTAAATAGAAAAGTAGAAAATGGTTTTCCGTAAAATTTGCCATGAAGTTATATAATTTGAAAGTAAAAGCATAATTATATTTTTACTAAAATGCAAAAAGTGCGCATGTGATAATCACTCTGAAGTTCAAGTCGTAGCGATTAGATTTCACATAGTGCGATTGTAGACCACTCAGTATAAAAAGAGGTTTCGTTCATTCCATCACTATATACATTTGAAAGACACTGCTAGATCTAATCAGTACGAATGCATTTAAAACCATGATGACAAAAATTATCATTCTGTTTCCTAAGAACAAAGAAAATTTTCAAAAATTGTCATTCAATATTAAGGTATAGTCTTTGAAAACAAAAGCAGTCATATTTGGTCTTTAATCATGTGACACAAGTTTCTTTGCACCAATCGGACGAATGAAAACGCGCAGACAAATGTCAAAACGTTTACGTTTATAGTGAGAATGCTAATCAATGCTAATTAATGAAATTTCTTTCTTTCTCTTTCTTTATTAATGATGTGTTTATTTATATACTTGCGTTCAGAAGACTGACGATTCATTAACGTCTTTTGTAATAATACTCAGAAATAACCATCTGACTATAACATTTTTAAACAAATTGTATGAAAAATGTTCGATTCCGGTCTGTACATTTTCTCTTTTTCTAGGATGTAGATTTTTTCATAATCGTGACACACGATATTTGTTTTTTTTTCTCAGTTCGCCTGTGCAGTCTGCTTTATCCGATTATAAAGTACAGACATCTTCGGAGAAAGTGTACGCAGTATCTTGATTTTTTAGACTGTACACTGTACCATATGTCGATTTTCTGTAGGTAGTGCGTTTAAGCCATGCTTCTTACAAAAGAAAAGGAACAAAGATTGAAAATATTTTTTTGAAATAAATTCTACAAAAAACTAACTTTCAGACGCCCTGAAACATTAATTTTAATCGACATAGTCTCAATTTCTGTAACATTCAACGCCGTATCCAAATTCAAAATCGCATTCAAAGCATAATACTGACGAGAAAGGGAAGAGTTGCGTCAAGGCATTTGGAATACAAAAACTAGACGTAAGGGCATCTTCTTTGCAAAAGAAATTAAATTAAAATCTATTCTGATTGTTTTACATGACTCGTTTTTGTTCAAGATACCGGTTGATAAAGTTTTCGCGGTATCAGAATTTTTGGGATGCGCGCGCATCGTATTACCCCCTTAATTTATTTTTTTCTGATCATTGACCTTAGAAAGATATGAATTATACGGGATACAGCTTGTTTTCAATTATTTATCTTATTTCTCGCTGAAAACTCGTTAAAACACATCACTTATTCTTTCAGTGCAAAACTATTTTAGTTTCATTATTTTAATTCAAAACTTTCAAAATTATCTCCATTCTTAAAATATCAAATATGTAAAAATGAATATAAAATATATTTAAAATTAGAAGAATAGTTCTTGTTTATCAAATGGACAATAATAACTTAATATAATGTTAAAATATACAAACTTATTTTTTCGATAAATAAATAAATAGATAATTTGCTGTTACTTATTTTTTCAATAGATACATAAAACCAAACTGCTACCATGGACGGACGGATGAACATCACAATTTCATTGCTGCTTTTTTAACCGATTTTATCAGCCGGGGAGAACAAAAAAAATACAAATAGTTTGAAAAAAAACTCTGTGTCAAAGTGTGACATTTATAGCTTCAAACCACAGATACGAATAAAGGCACCATGTAGGCCCTAGCGGGCTGTCTAAAATATAAGCGGGCATCTCAAATTCAGTTTCTCAATATCTTTTTCTTAAAAGTAAAAAAAGTTCAGTAAAAATGTTTTGAAGCATTATGTAGGAAAACAATTAGAAACAATCAATTATTGGATAAATGAAAGTTAAAACATACCATCAGAAATTCCATAACTATCTTTCAATTTTCTGCTTAAATCAGAGCACCATTTATCCAAATGTCGTACCATCTGCTTTATAAATGCGTCTGATCAGTGCAATTTTGAAAAGACTTGTATAAAAAAGGAATATAAATTAATGATAAATAATTCATAGTAACATGTTTACGCAAATGCGCTTTTGATTAGCGATTGGCTATAGCTTACGGGTCCAGGAATTTGCAAATAGTGAAATTATGCATTGTTTTTTCTAAATGAGATAACCTGGAACGAACCATTTTGTCAAATTACAAAAATTAACGTAATTAGATAAAATTAATTTACAAAATAGATTACTGAGGTCTTTGAAGGAAATATATTTCATTTACAGATTTGTTAGTTGACAAGTCATTTGTAACTCCGCCCATCCACCTACTGAGGCACTAGCGGATTGGCTGGAGGAAATGCTAGTACTTGAGTTTCCCAATTTGGGGTTTCATTATTGCTCCAAAAATATTTTGGGAAAAAAGTGGCGGGGGTTTTTATATTTTAACGGGGATTTTCCCGGGCGGGATTTTTCTTTGGTTGTCGTTTCATTAAAATGAGTTGATTTCTTTCAAGTTGGGAAACCCCATTCCCCCGTGAAAAAAGTGATTTTTTTTAATTTTTCTTTTGTTTGCCAGTTTTTGTCATAAAATATTTCTAAAAAACTCACAGGGTTTTTCCCCGCTTAATTTTCATTTGAAAATTTTTTGTTAAAAAACTAACTCAAATAATGGGCCATAATTTCCAAATTTTGAAAGTTCAGCTAAAGTTTTTACTGTTAAAAATTTCTACACCATTCTTTATTGGTTTTTTCATATATTTGTCTAGGTTTTCCCAATAAATAGGCTCAATAGAAGCTAGAAAATATAATTTATAAAACAGTTAAATTCTTTTTAATGTATGATCCATTCCCATAAAATTTGTTACAAAAATGTCTATGGTAGAATTAAATGTTCCTGAACAAAATACCATGCTGCACTTTTAAGTAGGATAAACCTTTCAGCGATAATTTGTACATGCGCAATTCGCTTATGTGGCAATACTCTAACATATTTCTATTATACAAGCCTTTGGGCGTACTCTGTTCAGAATTAATTAGATATAACCGGGTTTCAAAGTAATTTATGGATTTATGTCACAATGGTTTATCTATACCTCAATATTACCATCGTTGCATTTGCCTTGTCAGCCTCGGTGGCAATGTCTAAGACATTTAGTTTGATACTGAAGGTTTTAAGTTTAAATCTTGATGGAGCATTTTTAAAAAACATTTTTCTTCAATCATATTTTGCAAAACCTGAATGTCATGTTGTTATACAATTTTACGTATTAAAACTAATAAAATTACATGATAATTCTTCAAAGTAATGAAACTAAAAAATAAGAGAAAAAAAAAACAAACACGCCAAAAATAAAATATGATTAAGAAATATTAAAACTATTGTTTGATGAAGATTCGAAATTGCAACCACACGGTTACATTTCTGTTTTACCTACCATAAGGATACTGGGCCGTAATTATGGATTTATTATCAGTATTTTGCTATATTTACTGGCAAATACTGCTTATGAATTAAAAAAAACAATATAAAAAAGCAAAAACAACAACAACAACAAACAGCAACCACATGACGTAACATATGAAGGAAAGTGAAAACATAGCAATTTTAAATGTTGACAAATTCAACAGAAACAAACTTTGAAAAGTCAATACAGGCTGAATATCAATTTATGAAAATTTGATAACTTTAAATAATGGGCATTTCAATGTTTCGAATGAAAAATTGCATAGAAATGATATATCGGAATTAATGATATTTTCTTGCACTAAAGCAAAAGTAGAATGTAATCAGAATCAGCAGTTTTGGCTTGCTAATCAATTAATCAATATGCCATTTTGCTAAAGTTCACCAGAAGTATGGTTTGATTTTGCATTCTGTTTATACTGACAATATATTAAATTTTGAGATTATCGGTAAGTTCCATAAGATGTACGCAGTAAGATGTGATTTACTCTGAGCGTTAATTAATTTTACCTACGTATTTAAAGATCCAAACCGCAAAGGTCCATGATTTTTTTTCAAATGAATTTAATTATTTGATTGTTTTTTTATGTTGTTCTAATTGTTTAAATCTGTTTTGCTATTATTTTGTCCATACTTTTTTAAATAACACGACTGTAGGCTTTATAACCTCTGATCCTTTTTTAAAAATTACATTTTATTTAGTTCCGCCCATTGTGTTTTCGTTTAGGGCACACGCATTCTTTTACTCGTAGACAATACGCCGCTTTTCATGGAATGGCACGAAAGTATCACATTGAAGGTTCCATGATAACCGCCGTTTAAACACATCTGCGGATGTTTCTATATTCAAACCTCTACCATTATCATGATAAAATGATGAATTCTGCTAAATGCTACTAGGGCGCTTGGATGGTAACTTGCACTTTCCATTACCGAGCCTGCAACATTTTCAATTTAAAGATTAGTAATCAGAGACAAACAAATATATTTTTACATGATCAGAGTTGCTTTTCAATAATTATGCAAGCCACGATATTTATTCAAACACATGAAATATAAGTGAAATAAGTGGAAATTAGAAATTCATTGCTTGTAACTGTTATATTTATGCAAACTCTGCAGTATACGTACTCAAAACAATATGCTCACTAAATCACTCCAAAGTTTATCAAAGTATTGGATAAACATGAAGTAGTTAATCACATAGTAGTAATTATAAGCCTAAGGGATTATTTTGTAGCGAGCTGTCTTTTAAGGATTCAAGCTAATTTGAAAATGATTTGATTCTGAAATTGAGTTTATGCGTAAAAAAAAAGAAAATCATAACAACAACAAAACAAATAAGTCATTTTTTAGACATGCTGACAATGTTTGTTTTTAGAATTGAGCTCAATATTTTTAATTAAAATAAACATAACCAAAATGCATCGAAATCAAATAATGACGAATAAAGAGATTCAGATCTATAAAAAGAACTGTTCCAATGAGTTAAGAAACATTTAACAAGTCAATGATTTATAAAAAAAAACATATTTCTGATTTATATCAATTTTCTCATAATATAGTATCCCTCCTCTTTAAATGTGAGACAATATTTCAAATTGAAACACATTAAGATGCTGCAATTGCAGTGACCAATGTTTTTCCAAGATGCACTTTTTAAATTGTTTAATGTCGATGACATTTCGTTGTTACATTGTCATAGAAATTATTACAAAAACATAAGACCAAAATTCATAATGCACATTGCCAAAATGTATCTTATTTGAATGACGCCCAATAGAAAGCGCGATATTGATACTTAAAAGACGCAGGCATGGCCCTTCTTAAATGTGAATCAAAATTCAACTAGTTGACATATTAATAAGATTGTTTGACATGCACACACCTGAATAGACCATGAAACATGTGATTTTACGCCAGTACCATAAATATGTTATTATCATTTAAGTAGAACTAGTTTATTTTATATCGTTTGTTATTAATACATTGTCAGATTCTTATCGGTCAACATTTCCTATCTATTTGTGGAAACAGCCTCATTTTCCTTTAGCATCATATGCTCGAAATCATTTGGTAATGCAAAATAATCTGTTGATTATGTTTTAATAATTTCTTCTATTGTAAAGTAGATGTGTATGTTTCTTTTCAAACATAAGGCAATTTCTTGTATTTTCATTTTCGTTTATTTTATAAGATATCACGTTATTGTACTTTTCTTAAAGAATATTAATTTGATATAAATCAATCGCACGTTAGTGTGAATCATAATCATTTTTTCTTCTAACATGAGCAATTTGATTATATTCTTTTTTAAGACAATTTTGTCAGATTATGGGTATAACATGCCAGTTATCTCAGTTATCTCAGATATCACACGAAATTCTGTTTCTCATGTTTTCTAATGTTTATGTGAAAATAAATATGTCTATTAACCATCAAAAACGCAAACATATTATAAAGATTAAGTACTTTAATCGACATTTGAAGAAAA